ATATAATTTGTAATTTGTTATTTTTGCATTATACCATTACACATGACTGTAAATAAATTTACATTGTATTGTATTGTATCTATAGAAAGGAGTTTTTAACACTGACTGTGTTTCCATCGAAGGTGCATTTACTTAATGATACAGTATACATTTTTGTTAATAATTATATTATAGGTAATAATGTTATATGTCTTTTACATTTAGTATTAGTTACAAATGGTTTTGATAGTAATATCAATATTCATTAATATATGTCCTATGTTGATGAGGAAATATCTTGGCTTTTTTGATGAGGAAATATCTTGGTTTTCGAATTAGACTGATATGTTATATTATGCACGAGTGCGTGAGAGTGTAAACACCACAAGTATTCCTACTTTATACTCTTGTTATAGGCTGAACAGTAGTTAAATGAGTGTAGTATCCAAAAATGTGTTTTCAAAGTAATGTTTTGAGTTAAATGTTACTATCAGCTGCAAAAAAAAAAATAAAAATGTATAAAGTAATTAAAAATGCCAGAAGATAACTAAAACTGGAATATAGGCATGGTTGCCCAAGGCAAAAAATGGTTGTATAGTAACATTTAAAATAAGTGTATCAGCAAAGAGTATAGAAATGCAAGAGGTCCAATTCGTGGTGGATGCAGTTTGGCGCAGTGGGAATGGTCTGGTTTCCCAACCTCGAGCTTGGGGTTTTAGTCCTTCGCGAGCAAGGCACTTTATCTACATTGCTTTAAGCCTGGTTCTCACGAGAGCCCTAGTATCCGGATCGGGAGCTAACCGTTAGCGCTATCCGTTAGTACCTGTGTGAGAACACCCGATAGGTTAGCACTAATAATACTAATAATATTCATTTCCAGCCATCACTCTCCCATTCATTTTGGTTTGTGAAATGGTAACCTCAGTGGTAAAATCCATAGTTAAGATATAGTATAGCGTTTTTTTCGTAGTTTCAGTTTTATATCATAATCAATATAACAAATGCAGTGAAGCATCTAATAAAACTACAAGATGGCGATATAAGATACAAGGTATTTTATTTGTCAAAGGAGTATGTACACATCAACTTCAGGTTTCAACCATAGACTCGCTTCATATCTCTGTATACGATACTTGGCATTTGGCATATCCAGCGCCGCTATGTTGATAGAACCCTGCTTCTTAATAGGCGGTTCACGGAGAAATTTAATCCATCCTCCGTCTGAGAAAAAAACATGATAAAACTATATTTAAAACAATCAAAATTTAAATCATTCGATGAATAATTGTTCAATAAAGTAGACAAAAACACAATTACTTTGTTACATGCACTAAAAAGCTAAGCTAAATTAAATACATTATCTAGCAACAACTATTAACAGACACAGTTACAAGAATGTAAGTAAAAAATTAGGCGTCAAAATAAACTTTTCAATTCCCAACATTTTCGGAGCTGAGTGGCCCCTAAAGTGCAGTCGAATCGCGCTCCAGTTGGATACATCATTCGCCACTCTTTCGGAGACAAGCCCACCCGTTTGGCAAAGCTTGGTGCCACCACTGTTGGTTTCTAATGCTTTTAAACAAGCTAGAAATAGTACAAAACTTGAGCAAGGTCTTCAGTTTCTTTCAACAAATAGTGTTTATCTTGCGACAGACAACCATGTTTTGCACATAATATTTTGTATGTTTTCTACTACAGATTGTGGTGTTAATGTACATTTAGAATTTATAATTAATAAGAGATGGCTACGATAGTATGGCTGTAATTTATTGGTTTATGTGTGACGGAAAATATAACATAATTGTAACTAAAGCAATATATGAATAAAAAAGAAATTATATGACGAGATAAATTATAATTCCGGCCTAATATATGATGGAAACATCATTTAATATTATTTAGCAAATGAATGTAAAAAGGCAAAGCCCAAACCTTTACACCCCATTTATGAGAACTGTATTTAATTTGAGGATCCATCTTAGTTTAACACATCGTCTGTCTGATAATAAATATATATATATCTCCCCAAGATCCGCCATTGTGAATTGCGAGAAAATGTAACTCGGTTGGGTACTGGATCAACATTCTCTTTCCCATCCTTCTCTTTCTTCCCTTCTTCTTTTTTTGCATTTCCGATCATACAAAAATCTCCAGACATTATATATTTTTCCCCAAAATGTGGGGGGTGGGGGCGGACCTCCACACATTCCGCCGGCCATGTGTTGATAGTAATTGTTATTGTCGTGATGGAATAATAGACAATAACTGGATTTGCGTCAGGAGAAACATGTATAGGTATAATTTTGCCCTACCTATTCAGTTATTGTCTATTATTCCATCACGACAATAACAATTACTATCAACACTGCCGTACCCGCTGCTTACACGGACTCGAATTCAACCCTGACCATCAGGCGCAAGCTCGGTGGTCTATTTTAGCTGTCTCTTATACACATCTAGATGTGTATAAGAGACAGGGTGTATACATATAGGCAAATTATTAATCTTTTAAATGTGTGGTCCAACAATCTCGTCTTTGCGTCGGTCGACGGGGGTCCAGGCCAGATGTGTATAAGAGACAGCAATTAAACTGCGCCAGTACAGGTTCATTGTGTACCATAACCTTTGATAGGTTTCACCCGTAATAATAAATCTTAATATTGTTAATTAATTCAAGTTAATTACCTCAACCCACACATACTGTGTGGGTTGAAGTAATTAACTTGAATTAATTAATTCAAGTTAATTACCTCAACCTCAGTATGTGGATCATATAAGCTATAAAAATGTGAATTTTAAGCACAATAAAACTGCGATTTCACTTTGACTGTCTATTTTAACATTTAAATTTTGACATATTTTATTGTTCATATTAATTAGCCAGACAGTATGTGGATCATAAGCTATACAAATTGTCGCCTTTAGCCGTTTTTATTTTCAATTTTAAATAACACGGCTTCGAGTTTTCCCAATGTGATACAACATGTTTTATACATAGATGCATAGATAAAAACGCATCATGAATTCAGCCAAGAACGCGAAGTAAAGTTCATGATCCTTTCTCTTCTATACCGTTTATAATTTATCTGTATATAAATTGTGAACGTTAAGATAAGAGGAACATGCGTGTGCGCAAAAAAAAAATTCCCAGCCTGGATTCGAACCTTACCTTATGCCTGTCTCTTATACACATCTAGATGTGTATAAGAGACAGCATACATACCGGTATATATATATATATAAATTTTGAACGATAAGTGACCGACTGGGTCCTTATTACACCGTTTGGGAATTTATATTTAATTAAAGCAGCTGATCGTTCACATTCCTTTTGGCATGCATAGTTGAACAGCACTAGTTCTTCATAGGTGGACCAAGGGGGGCCCAGCCGGCCCGGGCCCCTCTAAATTTGCCATAATTTAAAAAAAATAAGAAAAAAGAAAATTCGACTAAAATGTTTAGCCTGGGAGTGCCATTTCCGGCAATCTAGAGGTGCCATAATCATAAATTTTCTTACCTCAGCCCAACCATGGTGGGGCTGAGGAAGTATAGACCCTCCATCTGTGAATGTCCCTTTCCAGGCCCCCTTTATTTCAAATTCCTGGATCTGCCACTGGTTCTTAGTAAGTAAGGCAGATCATTATGAATCACCCTCATCTGTTTATCACTTGCATATTCATATATGTATTATATGTATACAGAATATATATAAAGGGAGATAAATTCATGTACTGTATAAACAAATAATATAAAGCATATATAATTGGAGATAAACTGTCATTTATTATTGATGACTACCGTACTTTAATTCTCAAAAAACCTAAAAGGCTATAACTTTCAATCCAATTCAATCAGTGATACAAATTCGGAAATGTTGGCTCCCCACCTCCCCCCACCCACCCAAAAAAAGTGAATTATTGCTATGTACCAGCTGACTAAATTTACATTGTATAAATGGAGCAGATAGCTACATGCGATATGTGATAACGCTGTTTCAGTTTCTAAAGGTAATTGGTACATCTACCTGGCATCACTGGAGCATCTTTGTAATTACTTTTTTTGCCGCCAAATGGATAGTTTATGGGAAACAGCAGCATCGTTCATGTGAATTGCTGGATAAAACTCAATTGTTCGTTAGTTTGATTTTGGAGTCATCATTGGAGATCTTCCTTGGCAGCTGATGCTCTTAATCTTCAAACCAAGGACCTCCTCTCATTTATGTTGTTTGCTGATTTGCTACATGGCGACGCTCTCAATTTGGTGGGGATTCTGCACCAAGTCTGCTGAAATTAACCCAAGTCTTTTTTCCAAGTTTACAACCTCTTGGTTACTGAAAAGGCAGTCAACAAACTGCTTAATGTACAAAGTTAATTGCTTGGACCATCAGTCTACGATCCAAGTTGGTTGGTTCGGGGTGCTGTAACAGAGGTTTTGTAGCATAATGATTAACTGGAATTATCTGTTTCTTGAAAGATGTAGGTGGAAGATTTAAACTACCATGATTTACTGTTATTGTTTGCGAGCTTAATTGTATGGACATTTTATCTCAGGTTTGCAGGAACAGTACCAGTGTGTCGAATGTTTTTAACTGGTTTTGTCATCGGCACCTAACACCACTCTTATTTCATTTTTCAGAACAAGGTAAACTTTTTTGTGAATTAAAACTGTGACTCCATGGAGCAGTGTTTTACATGGACCAGAGTACTGCATGCTACAGCACTGCTGGTGATGTTTAGACTGTTTAGACGGTGTCTTAATAACCATTGCATTGTTTTGTTAAAGAAGTGTTAGGATATGATCCAGTATGATGCCAAAAATATCGTAGTACCTAATCTTGAGTTCCCCTGTTGAAGAAGCAATTCTTAACTGGAAGATCATATCAGATCTGAGAGTTTTTGGATTACTGAGAACAAGGTGACATTATGGAAAGTATGTGCAACATCAACTTAGGCAGAAACCATTCAGTTAATGGTTTCTCTTACATTGTCTATTACAGATCAACAAACACTGCAAACTAGTAGACCATTCTTTTCACTACGATATACTCCTAATTTCGGAGTCCTTTAGGAGGTCATTTTTACACACCAGAACCAAACCAAAGGCAGGCCACTACCTTACTATAGCGCTGCTGCAGCACCACCACCACAAGACCATAAACTATCACAGTCAACGAAGGCTGAGATGGTTTTACTCAGCTAAAATCAATGTTTTGCACCCTGCTGTTAGTTTGAACTCTAAATGTCAAATGGATCATTCTTGACAAAATTTTCAACAAATTATTCAACTGTAGTGGCTTTAAAATATTTTGTATAGCACCGCATCTTCAAGAGTAGAATTTGGGTCAAAATGTCAAAATTTAAGAAACATACATTGGTATCAGCTGCAAAATACATTTAATTGAACTTATTTTCTAAATTGAACGCAAGGTCTGAGTTTTTGAATTAGAATGCCGCAGCATCACTTTTGTCAGACTGCTAGTGTTTATCTGCAGAGAGTGTAAATCTCGTAGAAGAGATTTGAATGAATGGGTTTGTGTATCAAAATTTTCATGGCACCATCCCACAGATGGAGGATCCAGACTTTTTTAAACGAGGGGGCAACAATTTCATATAGGCCTAAATGATGATGATGATGATGATTTTTATTATTATTATTATTATACAGATATATGTCTAGTAATGGCATGATTGATGTTCAGTACCTGCTGTTACACTTAGTATTTGCGATTTTGTATGTTAACACACAAACAAAAGCCGACAGTGGCAAAACAGGCGAACGTTCCCCTCCCTAAATCTTCTCCTGTCCAACATTGTGGAAACCGAGGAACAAAATGTTGTGGCTATGGCAACTAGATGGCCGGAAATGGCACTCACAGTCTTAGGCCTAAATATACCTTTCCTCTTTTATCTCTATTTTTTAATTTTCAAAGATGTTTGGGGAGGGGGGGCTGGCCCGGGACGGGGTGGTGGGGCAGGGGAAATTAAGGGGCGAAGGTTAAGTGTCAGTGCTAAGTGATTAAGTAAGGGAGATTCAGATGGCAGAATATGGTGATATGTGGCAATTTTTGTGAGTACTTGAGAAAAACATTTTTTTTGCAAAATAATATCCAGTGGAGATGTGTGGAGGAGCAAGATTTCTGGGAGGGAGGTTATTTTTTGAGCTCTTATATTCTTCCCAATGCATCACTGATCCCATTATATGATATCAGATAAAATAAAATGACTATTGTATGATATATAAATGAATAACGATGATCGAATTGCAATTTTTTTGTTAAAAACAAATTTTCGGCAGCGGCCATTTTGAAATTCAAAATGGAGGGCCTAGAAGTGAATAAAAAAAACTGGCACCCATTTTTTTCTTAATCAGTGAATTTTTTAGATATATTTAGACAGGTTTGCCACGAATCTACCCAAAAAATTGACAGTTAAAAAATATGACATAAGACAACAGACTATAATATTCTTCTCCAGTACAATTACATTTTTCTAACCTAGTTAGGATCAATAAGACTTTACATTAAACAACACAAACAAAAAAAAAATCCTCAAAAATAAACGCTGCGGGGCATTTATTCGACTAATTGCGGTAACTCGTCTCCCCGGAGCATAACCCTATACTTAATTTACTATTCCAATTAGACATCAATTTCAACAACATAGGTTTGAAATGCATACGTAAGATAATGTTCTATTTCATAACGTTTTCAATATTCTCAATTTTTAAAATCAAGTTTTACCTCTAATTATCCCATTCTTCATTGCGATTTTTTCAAGAACAATATTATCCTATTATTTTACAATAACACACTATACACTTTTTCAAATTTTCAAACACTAATACAGCTTACAACATGTAATAATGAAATAAAATAATTGAATAATTTGTGTAATTCCCGTCAATGTTATGATGCATGTGGTCTTTTATAATACACAAACTTAACAAGTATGAAATATGTATACTAGTATACCATTATAAAGATACCACGATTAAATTGTGAACATTAACAATAATAATAGTATATTATTAGAGAAGCTCACAGTAAAATGTACGATATTTTATGAAGTCTATAATGAGGAAGTGATTATTCAATAATCCGGTTCATATTTTTTCTCATCATTGTCATCATCATATTCACATCATTTATCTACATCAATATAGTTATGATTAATAGATTTTAGTGTTGTGTTTAATCGTTATGTGCTAATGTAGAAAAAATTGTTCAAACCACAACTATCTTAAAGGCGCATTTGTGAATCTCACCACCTGACTAACCCTATCTGATGACAGTTTATTTTGTTCAATAAGCAAATATTCTGACACGTGAGTTTCCCCACTCTGCTACTACCACGCGCCTCCATTCGCCCGGGATTACACAAAGTCCTCGTGGATCAACAGTCGGTTTCCCATTGTCAACAACCTTCACAAACTTTCCACTTTTGTCGAACATCTGAACATGATGTTCACTACTCACAAGCATATTGCCATCTGCGTCGCACGTTATACCTTTCGGTCGTTCAAATTGACCATCTTTATGTCCCCGGACACCGAACATAGTTGTTTGTGTACCATGCTTTGTGAATCTTTGAATTCTATGGTTCCAGGTGTCTGACACGATCAATTCATCTCCACACATGTCAATGAACCATGGTGAAAGAAGACGGTGAGGCAGGGCAATCTCAGGACCGAACGATTGAATTTTCTTACCGTTGCGATCGAACTTCAAAATACAATGAACTCCATGATCGACTATATAAATAAAGCCGTCTTTATCGACGGCAACACCGACAGGATCCACTAACTCATTTTTGCCAAAACGACGCAAGAGTTTGCCATCCGAACTGCACTTGATCACTTGCTTCTTGACGTGGTCTGTCAAAAACATGACTCTGTCCGTGGTAACCACAATGCCTTGCAAGTCGCCTGCTTGCTGTACTTGGATGTGCCTCATGAAGCGTCCATTCCTGTTGAATATATAAACTATCGGAGTTCTATTTGTAACGAAAATATCTCCGTCAGTAGACACTGAGACGTTGAATGGTGGTTTGTCTCGAAAGGCACTATGGGTGAAGTCCAGAGCATCTCCTAAAGATGGCTGGCATTTTATTTCTAGTTTACCTTCTTTAATCAACTGTTCGAATAATTTAATCGTATAAACACAATCACCAGCATATGATGGCGTAATTTCAATGACGTATGTTCCGTCCTGATTATCATGTATTTTAGCATATTGTTTAGGATGATTTGGGTGTTTTAATTCCCCAGATACATCAGCTCCACCAACTCTCACATCACTGCCAACTGAATCCTTTGTTGTCAAATACAAGCGAATACTATCTCCAGTGTGAACATCTTGTATCTCTCCAGTATTTATGGTGGAGTTAAAGCCGACAGCTGAATTAGTATTAATGGTGCCTAAAGCTGTCTCCTCCAGCATGTCTATGAAGTCTTCGTCAGCTTTAAATACAAGACGTCTGTTTTCTTCTGGTAGATAGTTAGGCGGGTTATTTACTATATCTCGCATTTTTTGTGTTGAATCTTTCAGCCATTCAATGGCACTGACATGATCTGGGTAAACACGTGGATGCTGACACGTTTTATTTATCATGGTAATTTCGTGACGAATTGACAATAACATATCTCGCTGGGCTTCCAAAACTGCTCGCTTTGTAGTAAATTTTTCATTTAGATCTTTCCTTAGTTGTTTCTTCTTTTCAATAAGAATGGCCACGGCACCTTGTAACGTGTTTTCAACATCTGCTTGGCATTTGTCGTACTCTTCGTGGAGTAATTCTAGTACCTCTGATGTATCCTCCATGCCTTTATCAATCTTAGATAACATATTTGTTGTCCTCTGTGTAAGGTCAGTGAGTGATCTTTTATATGCTTGCGTGACATTCTTAATAGAGTCTTTCTTGTGTGTGGCATTTTGGTGAGACAATTTAATGCACTCGTCGCAAACAGGTTTGTCACAAGACATGCAGTACATGACCTGTCGCATGTCATTATGGAAAGGACAGAGTGCCATTTTGAGGGTGTCCTGCTCATTATCGCCAGCCGATTTTACCTTCCTGTTGTTCAACATGGTTTTACCTCAATGATACACTGGTAAAGTGACTATCTTACTGGACGCTCAAATGCCTGCGAAATAAATAGAATTTTGTATTCAGAGTTTAGAATCGTTCATACAATGTGTAAAAATAATTGATGAAAGATATTTTCCACCCAAGAAAAAATAAGACACTGGCAACAATTCTCGAGATTACAAACCTTATTGCGTCATATCTTTACTGGAAAAATAATGGCATTTTTGCAGGGGCGGATTTAGGGGAATTTATTATTAGACCTAATTTGTGGGGCAAACCTATCAACCGGGCAAGTTTGCACACCGACCAGACCGTTTCCAGTCCACCGGCCAGGATTTGACACACCGTGCCGCCATCATAATTTGATTCTGGCCAGCGGTCGGTCCGCTCGAGTCGGCTTGGCCTAGCCAAACGAGGCCACGTCATATTAAAATCAAAATCACCAAATTCGAGGACCAAAGTACATGTAACATAGTGAAGTTGAAGTAAATCGGTCTAGTAGTTCTTGGGCTATGCACCAGGAACACACACTGACAGACAGGCAGACACACAAACACACACACACCCCACACACTGAGGCGTGCTATTGCAATACCCAGGGTAACAACAACTTATGGTCAGGTAAAACTTGACACTCATCGAACGCAAATTGTCTTTGTTAATTATTAGCCAATAAAAGCGAAGAAAAGAATAATTATTTCTCTAATAATAATGAATTAGTTCAATATTATTGATTTCCAAGATATTCTTTGTTAAATTCTAAATGATTAAATTTTTTTAAATTAATAACATGGTAGTAAATTTTATTAATCAATACGGTTGCCATATTTACGTTTTATCAGTTAGAAACAGACCTACATCAAATATGAACTGAGTTGTAAATCGATCTTGTATCTTGTAACACTAGCTCCGACATTGTTCTTTGGAAACCTTAAATATCAAGTCTATCAAATTTTCTTTGACAAAAACCTGTTGTATGCCCATATACAGTCATAATGTGCCTATATGTGTTCATGATGTGATGTCATCCTGACTATATTAAGGCATGTCACATGATTTTGTCAAATACAATTTGATAGTCAGGACAAGGCGTTAAGCGCTGTCCACACTATCAAATTTTCTTTGACGAAAAATTGTTGTATGTCCATATATAGTCATGATGTGCCTATATATGGTCATGATGTGCCTATATATAGTCATGATGTGATTTCATCATGACCATATTTAGGCATGTCACATGTTTTTGTCAAATAAAATTTGATAGTCTGGACAGGGCCTTAAAATGCATGTATTGATCAACACACGTAGGCTACTAATACGGAAAAGTGCATTCTGCGTTCTAAAAATATCTAAAATGGACCATGATGTAGAGAGTATTAACTATTTTGACGCACCTTTGTTATTTCAAAGTGTGCCACTGTTTGAAAGTATATGTCCAAATAAATAAATAAATACCTTGTCTTTCGAAATTATTTTTATAGCCGTGAAATCAGAAATACTGCCTGTAGGCAAATCATTGTTGCTAAAAACTGATGCTGTAATAGCAGCTCCTTGCTGTTCAACCCTCGTGGCTCGTATACCCAGTGTGCTCAAATGACTCATGTGCACTATGAAGAACTGGCTGTTATGGTGTTACCGTGCTCTACTGTTCCATACATCGCCTAGTGCCCTGTTTTGGACTGATGAGTGTCTGGCAATGTTTTACCGTGTTGCTCACATACCGAAAGGACCCTTAGGGCAGAATTGGGTGTGTGTGTGTGTGACTGTGTCTGAAGAATTCTCCCTACGCTTTATGCCAGCAAAAATCGAAGCATTTTATTGCAATATTTTTTTTTGTTCGAATTATCATGCCACCTTGACATATCGACTTAATTTTTATTTCAATATTCCCGTTATTGTGTGGACGCTATTTAAAAAAAAAAACAACTTTGGTTTAAATAAAATAAAAAGATACATAGGTCTTAATTTGGATGGGTTACCGTATTATTTTAGACACGATATACGTCACAATTAAGTTGTCACTATTTACAAAATCATTGTGACGGTTTACATCATATAGACGTTACCGTAACTGTCAATCCTCGTACCATACCGTATAGGCGTACCCCTCGGAAAGCTACGAAATTTCAGTTTCCACAAGCCAAATTTGATAAATTTTTAAAAATAAAAATTCTTCAGGCGTTTTTTTCACGTTTTCAGAAAATTTATCTCAAGAAGTGCTTCTTTACTTTACCTCATAGAGTATAATGAGTTTTCTTAATCATACATTAAAATTGTTGAGTATTTTCGTGTATTATTATTACAAAAAATGCCTAATTTACAAAATTCATACCAGCCCAGGGCGTACGCCTTCACATACAGAAGTTCAAGTAGGGGCCTAAGTAGGGAATTTTCAGTGCTCTAATACTGTTCCAATGAAGTATTCGGCTCAAATGAACGCGGGATGATTGCTGCTTTCACATCGGATCCAAACCTAATTTCGGACCGCTTTTCCGATGCGCAGAACACTAGTGTGGTACCAGTGGCGTATCTACGGGTGCGCCCCCCCCCCCAAATGACTTGCAAGTAGTTACAAATCACCTAAAATTACCTTATTTTGCGAGTTGGCGACCC